TTTTTTTTAACTAAGCAGCCATCCTACAATTATATCCCTGGATTTGCCAATTCCCTCACCAACCCAAATATACGTGATATCAGGTTAAACTCCCCATCCTCGACACTACACTTTTGCTTCATGATAATTTTGTTTAAACTTCGAAGTTACATAAAATTCAAGAGACAAAGTGATTCGATTATTGTAATTTAAATTAAACCAATTCTTATTTGTAAGCGAGGGGAGCAACAGTTTTAATATGTATTTCAATTTTGTATACCTGTGTGTATTGATTAATATTTAAGTCGCAGAAAACCAAATTATGTTACTAATTATTTAATTATAAAATAAATTAATAATTGTATCTATGACTAAAAATGAAATCAATTACAATGGTATAGAAAGAGCTGTAAAACGAAAAATAGATTTTGTATAAGGATTTAGAAATCGCATCGGATTGTGAAATAATGATTATAAATAAATTAACATATATTAATTAATTGATTCAAAATATGGGGATTTACTATGATAGGTGAATTACTTACTGGTTCCCAACATACGGTAAGATAGCAACTGAAACCGCGAAACTTTTTTGTATTGTACATTTTTTATTTACCATTTTGCTTGACATTTTGTTTCTGTTTATTACTAATTCACAATTCTTTGCTTGAAATACATAATAATTTTAATAATATTTTATATTATGCATTTACGCACACACAAACATACTTACGTAAGTAAGTTAATGAATTTTGTGTTCTCTTTTTGTTGGTAATATAATAGTTTAGCTTTTGCTATGCTTTTAAAATGCATGACACCCATTAGCGTTTACACTTTCATGGTTTTTCTAACAATTTATTATGTTCGGTTTACTCTTCTTACTTGTTTGGTTTTTGAAATCTTGTTTCGTTACTTTGTTTTTAATTGCTTAGCAAAACTTCGACTCATTATAGGTTGAAATGATGAAGCATTGTTTTACGATTAAATGCGCAGAAATACTTTTGAAGTAAACAATTTGGTTGTCTGTTTTTTCTTTGTTAAAATTTCACAACATTGAAATTTTATTTCTTCGTCAACACATGCAGTTTTTTAACTTTTGTTTTTGGTGTGCTTTGTTAATAACATTTTGATTTTCTTTGTATACTCGCTTCAAATTGCCTTTGCTAATACTGAATTCTGTTGAGCCTTTCGTGTACTATCTGTTGAGCCAACTGCTTGCCAAGAACTCATTTGAGCAACCTAATTAAACTTTTATGTCGGTGTATAAAAGTTTTATCCAATCATTTGGGTTTCTTAAAGCTTTTCCATTTCCTCATTTGTTCAATCAACAACTTCAACTCTAATTCTCAACTTGGGTACAGAGAGCTGAGCTACATTTTCAAGGGTATGGGGGATGTATATATTGGATACATATTTTGTAGACATATGCATGTGTGTTGACATTGGATTTCGTAATCGTTCACTTCTAATTTACTAAACATCTACAAAATATAATATTTGAATTTTTCTCTGCTAAATATATTCTGCATATACATACTTTATAATGGTTGTTTAACATTTATACATTTTTCTTTATGCAAGTTTTAATTGCTTATGTGTGGTTCTTGATGAGGTCAACTTTGATTGGTTTTATTTGAAACTTTTGTATTTTCGTCTATTTGAATATCTTTATTTTAAGAATGATCTTGTCTAATTGTTGATATGTGTTTACTGTTTTATGTTGTGGCTAATATGAAATATTGCATTTTGATTTTTATTTTTACAATTCCAAAAAGGTTTAACAGTGTCCTTTCATGTGTTATTTTAGTTTAATTTTTTTTTTTAGATTTTTTTTTTGTTTTAATAATATTCAGTCTATATAAACATTCATTTATACATTTATGCTAAATTTTTGGAAAACAAATTGGGAAAATGTGCGAAACTGACACAAAAATGATGCACATTTTGCAGTTCGTTAACCAAAACTGGTAAAATTCCTCTAAAAAGAAATTGGGTTCAAATAATGTGGAAATAAGAATACCTGAATAGCTGTGGATGATCTGTTTTGTATGGGAGAAAGTGTTCAATTAATGTAAATCTATCAAAAATTAATGGTTGTTTACTTTACCTTGCTATGCTTTACATATATTTAATAATGTAAGTATAGTTAGGGCATGCTATTTGCTCTGCATTCGTTTCTGTATATTTATTTAAATATTTTGTTATATTTGCTTTTATTTTGCTTTAGCTTGCTAACACATTCCTCTTGACGAGTTTTATTCAATGCATTTGATTTATAGTTTTATCTTTCATTGCTGTTTCTGAACGTTTATTCAAGTTGGCTATACCTTTTCACGTGATCTGACATTTTCTTCAACAGATTCCTGAATCCTTGCAATGCATTTGAATATAAATAGAAATCGATCAACATAAACGAAATCAACTATTTACATATTTCTGTAGGTTTCCGTTTGGTTATAAATCTAATCACTGTTTTCAGTATGTGGTAAGTAGCTGTTCAAGTCACATATTCGCAGAAACCAACGAAAGCAAAACATCAGTGTGTGTTTAGGGTACAAGAATTTCGGTACTTATTTTGTTTTCGAGTCGAAAGTAAAACGTTTTGCAATATACTTTTCAACATCGTATGCTAAAATATTTATTTCTGATATTGTTATTCGTAATATATTACGTCGTGCTTTGTAGAATAATGTTTATTAGAGTGTTTCTAGCAGCGATTGAGCTTGCTGGGAAAATATTCATATAAAGAAACGTATTTTATGTTATCAATTCACTAATTACTAAGCAAACCAATGCCAAGCATGTCCTAAAATTAATGTTGTTTGCTCTACTTCTTTTACGGCTCCATTAAGCTCCTTTAAAAAATGCTCAATAATCCAAAAGCCCGATAAGATCCCGAATTATCTCTATTAAATCAACTGCTCTCGGATGTTGATGCATGAGCTGGCTTCACACCTGCACCGATATATATAAATTCTGTGGATAAATGGTTAAATTAGCTATGTAAAAAAGTTCCTAACTTAAATCATTGTAGGCAGTATGTCAGTTTGTTCTTTTCTCCAGCTTTTGTTCGATTTAAATTTGGGCCGAAATTAACTGTTGACAGATAGTGTGTGTTAATTTTTCTGAACACAATCGCGTTATTAAGACGATAACTAGATAACTGAGCTCCAAACAAAAAATAGGTGATTTGTTAAATACAAATATCATGTTCAACTTAGTCCATTAAAACGTTTTAAACCTTTGGAACGACTTGCCGATAGGATTACCCCTCATAAACAAAAAGAGTCCTGAATACACTCAACGGTAATCCCTCACTTAAAGGAACATCTCTAATATTCTCTAGACCTTTGTCGTGCTATATGTTCGCATGCCATGCGGCACACGGAAAAGCGTCTACACATTTAAAAAAATTGGCAAAGCTTTTACAAAATTACGAAACTACGGTTACAAACTACTTTGCCAAAAACACAATACCAAGTGCAATACTGATTTGAGCCCGATCAAACGATTTGGCCTGGCAGGTATTCGAGAACTGGACTAGACCAGTCCCGAAAGCAATTCTAAAAACTAACCACTGTGCCACTCATGCCAAGTGGCGCTCCTCCTCGCAGATGGCGCTCCGCGTCGCCTCGCACTGGGCACAGTGCTTCTCCAGAAACTTCATGGACAAGTGGAACGTATACCGGTGCCGGGTGCAACGCCTTTACATCTTGTACTCGACAATCTTGTTGGGATTGAGGAACTGCTCCCGTTGCGACGCCTCCAAATGGGCTACGGTGCGCGTCAAGGCCGAGCCCGATCCGGAACCGGATCCCGAACCTGGTCCTGATCCTGCTCCTGCTCCAGCTGTTGATCCCGAGGAGGATTTGTGCTTGCCATCGCCTCCTCCTCCGCCTTGTCCTCCGCCACTGGTGCGTCCGGTGTCGGTGCCAATGGGCTGGTACACTCCCTCGGCACTGATCACACCCACATTGACTCCGGCCACCACGGGCTGCTGGAGATATCCGGAATACTGCGGCGGCAGCTGGTAACTGCCCGGCGGCTGCTGCTGCTGCTGTTGGTGGCTGCCCGCCCGCGGCTGCTCCGTGTGGGCAATGGGGTACTGCTGCTGATGGGCGTAGTCCTGGCTGCTGCCCACAGCGCCAGCGGCAGCCACCGAGCCACCAGCTGCTCCTCCGCCGCCCGCCGATCCTCCACCACCGCCTGCTCCTCCCCCACCGCCGCCCATGCGGGATCCGGAGTCATCGTTCAGACCCTCACCCATTTCCCCGTCGCGATTGTGCCGTCCTCGGATGCACAGCTTGGTGAAGAGCCACACACGTCCGCGGTAGAGGAGGTAGCAGCAGAAGTGCACGAAGAACGTAAAGATTATGGCGCAGGCCGTCACTATAATCGCCTTGCCCGGCTTGGTCCAGTCCATCATCGGGTAGATGGCAGTTTGGTTTTTCCTGCATACGGAAGCACCATTATTAATAAGTCGCGTTTCCGGGTATCCGGCTTAAACTCACCTGTCTGTGCCGCCGGCCAAGAAATAGATTCCCGTGAATATGGCGTAGGCCAGGCCAATGCCAGTGGTAAAGTAGGCGTGGCTCATCTTTATCGGGTGACCCACTATGGCCAAATCGATGAGCATTATAATCGTGTTGAGCACATGGACCATTATGTTTAGCGCATCGATCTTGTGGATTTCTGAAAGATTGATGGGGTCTTTAGTTTATTGTATTGTATTATAGTATTGTCTTATAAAACTAGCCATTTACTTGATTTCCAAAAAGCTTGTTAGCTCAATGTTCTAAGTCATGTCTAATTGTTAATATTTTTTACTTTTCCAAAATGGAAAGGAACACCGTCAATTATATAAATTGATTACTTTAAATTAGTGTGGTAACAAAGTATACCGCCAGTAAAAATTCATATTTTCTCGGGTTTTCAAAGAATTTGCGTTAATTTTTGACAAATACTCTATTATTTTTTACTTACTCAAACAAAATCTTATCTACACATTAATTATTAATGAAAAATGTATAGGTATTCCAAAAATGTTCCGATATGTTTACTATCTATATATTTAATATACTAATATAAGGCAGGCTTTAGCACAACTCTCCAACTTGAAAAGTCCCTATTTCGAGTCCACCATCATATCCCATTGGCTCTTAATGGATCTGCCTAAAAACTTTTGGTTTGTCGGTTGGCTGACGTAAAAGACCTCGAACCCAATGTCTTCGGCGGAGTCCAGGAAGGCGTAGCAGGCGAGGAAGTCTAACAACAGCATTGTGGAGCAGAGTGACTTGTCGATGAAGGGCGGTAGGTTGTCCCAAAATCCGGAGATCACCTGCGCCTGGAACACAATCAGCGGGAACATGATTTGCCAGAGCACAAAGTGAATGGCTACTTCATAGGCGAGTAGGATATCCAGCAAGTGGGCACAAACTATGGTCATCAGGATGGAGGAGAACGTGGCGAATATGCCCCAGGTAAACAATAGGTACGCCACCGTGGGAAACTTGGGCAGCTTAAAGGAGCCCACCAGGAGCAGCAGCGTCATCATGATTAGAATCTCCAGGCTGAGAAGCAGCACATGCACAGTGAACTGATACGATAGAACCGAAACCGTTCCAAATGCCAGACAGGCTGCAATGAAGTAGTTGATGAAGGCACACTTCCGGCGCAGCCACATCACGTTGATATAGACGCACAGCGTGGCCAGTCCGATGCCGAAGAAGCAATAGGTGGCCACATCGTTCGAAACCAGGGGATATCCACGCACCAGACCCGGCAGGATGAGCAGCAGGATGGCCACGAGAATGAACACCAGGGCGGTGCCGTAGATCCACAGGGACACCTTGAGACGGAGGCGGGCGACGCCATCGGTTGGCTGATCACTCATCGAGGTGGGTGTTCTCCTATTGTTTTGCTCGTTTCCCGGGCGTGTGTCAAGTGTCAAAGGGGAGAGCTCGGCCTGACAGCCAGTATGTTAAGTGTAACCAGATCGGTATCAGCCCCGAATTTCAGCGTGCGATCCCTTGGATCCTTTGGCCCAAAGACCGATTACGAGGCGGATTCCAGCTTGACCGACAGCCAGGTAATACGGACGTCCTACGTGAGGAGGGAGGAGTATGTGGAGAGGGGAACTTCGATCACCAGGATTCCTGAGAAGCGTGAGCCCTCCCGCTGCCTGTTCCGCACCTACGTCTGCCTGCTGCTGGGCATCCAGGTGACCCTCGCCTCGCTGCAGTGGCTCGGATCCACGTACCGCTGGCGCCCCCAACTGAATCCGGCCAACCGCAGCCTGTCCGTCCTGCTGCTTCTGCTCTCGTGGATCAACCTTACGCTGGCCTTTATCGGCTTCCGGCGGCTGCAGTTCACCTTCCCGCTGAACTGGATCATATTCGGCTGCATCTTCGAGAGCCTCACGCTGCTGGTGGTGTGCCTGCACATCTTGGAGGGAGACATCACCTGGCCCTTTGTGCTGATCGGCATTGGTGTGCTGGTTGTTTATACTCTGCTGGGTCTGTGGGTGCCCGGCTTCCTCACCGCCAATCTCTGGATCCTCATCCTGGCCAGCATCGTGGTCTTTATCATCTCCTCCGTGGCCCTGGGCATTCGCATGAATATGTGCTACTACGTGCCCACCAGCGTCTGCCTGGTGATCTTTGGACCGTGGGCCATGTTCAACTCCCAGAAGCTCTTCCTGCCCCGCCAGCGGACCGGCTACTTGTCCCACCAGTACCTGGAAGCTTCCGCCAAAATGTTCATCAACTATGCGTTCACTGTAAGCGGCATCGTCTTTGCCCATCGCTTTTCGGTCGACACTTTGGATGCCCACGATTAGCTGGGATCAGGCTGGATCAGAATTTAAGGGTTACTGGGCTGGGGCTGATCTTATTTGCTTTTAGATTTTTTTGTAAGTCTTTAATTAAATTGTCACGTGTTTATATCTAAGCAATGGGTTTACTGAATTTCTCGATATATCAACTAATATGTAAAAATCTATATACAAGTAAATTACACTAGAACCGTCAACAGTGCGTATAAGTAATAAGTAGACGTCTGATTTTAGATAAAATCACCATGGTGATGTGCATTCAAACCTCTCTTTTTTTGCATTCCTTGAATTGTTGAAATTTTTTGGTATACAGCCACAAATGGAAAAAGTTTAAAATCAATTACAATTCTACGTCAAAAATGTCTAGTTAATCAAGTACTATTACAAATCGATTTTTGAACTATTTATTTTACGTATGTTTAATCCAAACCTACTTTTTATAGAATTAAAGTGTACATTAATCATGGTTTTGTGAATAACTTTTGTAACCAATCAAATAGTACTGTAAATCGGATGTTATAAAGTGGATTTCAGATATATTCTAAGCTCCGAAGATAAGTCTAATCATATTTTATATTTTTGTTCATCTTGTATCCCTTGAACAGACCAAGGTATAATCTTAATCTAACGTTATCCACTTACCGGGATTGTGGACCAGGAGCCAATAGCACATAGTGACGATGAAGGCATAGACAGTGGCACAGGTGTAGAGCACCCAATACAGGTGGTGCAGTCGGCTCTTCTTCGCCTGGCGCACGATCTCGAAGTCCTCGCGCTCTACCATCATGCCCTGGGTGACTATCCAGGCGGCCAGCCAGGCCTGCACCGTGCAGAAGAGCAGTCCCCAGTGGGTCAGGTAGATCCACCACTTGGCATAGTGGTGCTCGAAGTGCTCGTCCGTGCGCCCGATGTCCAGCAAGGAGCAGACCAGGGCCGCCAGGCAGGTGATGGCCGTTATCCAGCGGTAGAACAGGTAAACGATCCGCACCTGCGTGTTGCGCTGCCACTAAGGGAGAAAAGATTGTTAGAACAGATCGAACTTGAATTCCCTAGAAATATTTGGTTTCGAGGCATTACCAGATAACTTTTTGAAAAATTAAACTATTTATTATAATACATCATATACGTTAGCCCAGGAAAAAAGGTTAAGACAACTAAATGGTATATTTATTGACGGTAATACTTGATGCAAAGCATTGGTAACTAATATTTTGTATGTGTTTAATTAAAGCATACACATTTTTCTAAATTCTTAAGAACGATTTTGTAATTATATACGAAAAAGTGTTCTATTTGTAAGTCTTTAAAAATGCATTAAAAATTTAAATTGGTTGAGATGTAAGTAAGATCCTTTTGCAAGTCTTTAAAAATGCATTAAAATTTAAATTGGTTGAGATGTAAATAATCATTTTTAATCAGGCATTATTTGTTTCCCCCATCTTTAAAAGTTTTAAAGAGTAACCAAATTTGTATTTTCTAAAGTTATTTAAATGTGAGTAAATATATTCCATTTAGAAGTCTATATAGTTGCCTGACCTTAATGTGATTGATTTAATTACTATATATGTGATGTAATATTATAATTATAAAAAACGTTGAATAACATTATTATTGGGTATGGAGTATATTCCATTCACTAGTGGTAATAGCTACGTGAATTCAACCAAACTAATATAATAATAGGGCTTAACTAAATGGATTACGATTTAAATAAGTTATTGTTAGAGTATATAGTCATAATTGATTTTTAGGGAATAAGCCTATTCGTGATTTTGTAATGTAAAGAGTTGTCTCACCTGGCACAAGTAGAAGTTGTGGCGGTGCACATGGTCCGGGGTGAACTCCGGAAAGCAGCTGTTCCACAATTTGCTAACCATCATTCTCTGGTTGCCCAGGCAGCTGCCGGCGTTGGTAGCGAACTGGTTGAAGCCCTCGCAGCTGTCCTGCGAAGGATACTGGTAGGAGTGGTAGGACTGCTGCTGCAGTTGCTGCTGCGTCGGCTGGAATTGCTGGTGTTGCTGCGGGTAGTGCGACTGATGTTGCTGCTGTCGCTGTTGCTGCTGTTGATGATGATGCTGCTGCTGCTGCTGTTGCTGCTGTTGTTGTTGCTGCTGTTGGTATTGGTAGGGCTGGTAGCGCTGGTCCTCGAGGACACGCTGCGACTGACCACCGCCACCCAGATCGGATCCACCCCTGCCCACTGCTGATCCCGCTGATCCTGCTCCTCCCGCTGCGGCTGAGCCGTGCTCCGTTTGGTACTCGTGTTGCGGCGGCGTCTTGTGGCTGTGCAGGCTGTCCCGGCCGCTGCCGCCGTATGGATGCAGAAAGTCCGGCAGGTCAAGGATGTGTGCCAGCTGCGTGGCAACCTCCTCGTCGTCCTCGTCCTCGTCCTCCTCCTCCTGCAGGTGGAAGAAGCGCAGTTCCTCGAGACTCGAGCAGTCCGTGGAGAGCAGGGCCTGTGGCAGGCACTCCTCGAGCAGATCCTCCTCGTCTTCAGTGGTGCTGGCAAAGCCCGGCAGATAGCCGTAGTTGTCGTAGGCGTCGTACCGCCTGCGGGGCGTGGCCTTGTAGCGATAGCCAGCTTGCAGCTCCTCCGCCGCTGCCGCTGCCGCCGCTGTGCTCCCGTACTCCCGGAACGGCGAGGTGGAGACCGCTGATGCTGCCGCTGCAACGGCCGCCGGAGTGGGCGGTACCGGTGGTGGAACGGTTCGGGTGCTCCGGCTGCTGAAATAATAGTCTGTGGCTACACTTGGCGCCGGCGGTGGTGGCGGCAAAGCAGCCGGAACGGCCAAGGGGGGCAAGTAACCAGGCGAAGTTCCCGCTGAGGCTAACAGCGGCGTTGGCGAGGCATCGAAGTTGATTAGCGCCGCCGCCGGATAACCGCCTCCGGAATATCCGCCCACGCTCCGGTACGGATACGGATAGGGAGTGCTGGCCGCTGTTCCGCTGCTGCTGGTGGTTCCTATATAGATGTGCGCCGATGTGGACGGCAGATGGTACCAGCTGTAATGGCAAAAGGTTGCAAAATTTTTCAGTTTTTAACCGATTTTTGTATATATTCATAGGGGTAATTTACTTTTAAAGTACTTTTTTAAGTACTTTTCACAGCTTTGAATACTTAAGCATCCATAATTTAGATGACATTCTTGATCAGGTTAGAAAACATTAGGTATTAATATTCATATTTACTTTAAGCATTTTTTAAAATAAATGACAATGGTCTCAGTGTGTTATTTACATTTTTAAGACCACACACATTTAAATCAAATTTTTTTAGATTTACTTTATTAATGGTTATAAACCATCTACCTTTTAAGGCCAATGGTGTTGGGTACTTTTTTCAAATATATACTCCTTAAGACAACTTTTAAAAGTGATTGGTTGTTGAAGAGTATCTTGAGCAATAAGATAAGCAGTTTGGTGCAATTGTAAGTTGATTAAGTGTTATAAATGAAATGATTTGGGAGTCAGAGCCTTAAAATGTTGCAATGAGCACAGCGTGCTCTTAGGAAGCTATTAAAAATTTGCTTATATGTTTTTTATAACGGACGATAAGTGCTGTGGGAGGCTTGTAAGTGTTGATACATGTTTTTATATTTATTCAGAAAGGGTTAGAAGTTAAGTGGGTGTGATATTACCTGGCTAGGTTGCCGCTGCCCAGACCGAAGCCCAGGCCCAGTCCCAGACCCAGATCGGTGTTGGTGCTGCCGCGACTGAAGTAGTAGCTATACTGTTGCTGCTGCTGCTGCTGTTGCTGTTGCTGCTGCTGCTGGTGTTGCAGTTGCTGGTGCTGCAGCTGCAACTGCTGGGCCGCGAAGAGCTGCTGCTGCTGGGCAATCTGCTGCTGCTGCTGGTGGGGGGCTGCGTAGCCGGTGAGCCAACGTTGCCGCAGGCACGAGTAACTCTGCTGCAACTCGCGCTCGAGTCGCTGCAGCAGCAATTGTTGCTGCAGCTGCTGGATCTGCAGTTGCTGCTGCTGCTGGGCTAGCAATTGCTGCTGCACGAGCTGCTGGTGCTGTTGCTGCTGCTGTTGTTGCTGCTGTTGGCCACTAATTGGCACCGCTCTAAAGTAAAACTGCGCGTAATCCAATGTGATGGCGTTCCTCTACAGCTCCGATGCGCGTCTACGACACTCACGCTTGGCTATTGTTCGCTATCCTTATCCCCGCTTCCTTCAGTTGTCCTTTGAGTCCTTTGTGGCTTTTGCTCCTGTTGCAGTTGCAAGTGGCAAGACGTCTGAGCTGTAAGTGGAGCAAGGCACAGAGATAGAGGCATTGAGTTGAGTCGACTGCTTTTCACATGCGAGTGCATAATGTACTAATTAGGAGGGCGTTAAGCATACGCCGCGTAAGACAAGTTCAGGCGCGTAGCCTGGTAGGGGAATATTAACCTGTGAGGTTCTTAAAAGTGTTTTCATATCTATATATGCATTATGAAAACAAACTGCCTTAAACTATAAATGCCACCAAATGCATTTCAAATTTGATATGAATAGAAACATTTTTTTAACATATTTAAGTTTCTATAAAGTTTACCTGTTAATTAATTATTTGAAGAAACTTTTTTAATTTAATACCAACTTTTAATTCTGAAAGTTTGAATGTTAATGGCATATACATAATAACTTTTGGCTAATTTTAAACAAATGTATGAAACTTTAATAAAATCAGACCAAGTTTGATCAATAAAAATTTTTTTTTGCTGCCAATTTTGAATTTTAAGAACGAAACTCCTTATTTTGAACTAAATCAATGGTTCGCTTAACACGATTTCGCTTAACACGAGGATTTGTAGGAACGTAACCCCCGTGTTAAGCGAGGGCCAAGTGTACACTTCTAAGATGCCTTTATCTTCTAAAGTAACGTTAGAAAATCCATCTCTGATGATTCATCAGGATCAAGTTATTTAAATAACTTTCATTTCAGCATCATATTTTTATATATAAATACCAAGAAACATAGGTCTTGGGCCCCTTTATAAAAACCTCGCTACGGTCCTGACCACGATTGCGAAGATTGAGGGAAAATGGAACGCTCCACTGAACGCACACGTTGGTGGTTCTGGAAACGTTTCTTTGAAATCGTAATTTTCAGCCTCACAGACGTTCTCAGCCTTCGAGGAAAAAAAGGAGATGGAAAATACGGAAATAGAAGATGGTAAGCCACGAAAGCAATTTCATTACAAGGATGTTCATTACAAATTCGCTGCATTTTGCATAAAATCTTAAGCTTGGGGCGCACAAAAGATATATTTGAGGGTTGAACTTTTTCATGAACTATTAAATTTTCTTCAAAATGTGCAGTGACTCTGCTAAATCGTTGAAATCAGTGATTTATTTGTAATAGATCAAATATACTCAGTTTATTGTTTTAGTATATACTTTGTATATACTTTGTAAAAAGGGAAGACAATGTAACGCTTGCAGCTAACTTTGACTAGAACTACCGCTCATCCTATCATCTTCTTTTAAAAAAAAAAAATGGTTAATAGCCACTGAGCTTTATGACATTAGTTGGTTTAAACCAAGATTGAAATCTAAATAATATTTAAAAAATTATAAGTCAGCAATTTTCCCCCCATTCTCGTCAAGTCGCTTGGGGGTAAACTATTTCCATAGCATTATCCTTTCGCTGCAGACACTAGCCCACGAGTTTTAATGTCCTCAGAAAGTGTGGGCGGGGCAATAAAATCAAATCAAATTGCGCGTGCCTCAGCAAAACGCAAAACGGCGACCAGGAAGCGCCGTTGTGGCCATTTTGGTTGCGTTGCTTTTCCGCTGCAAAATTGAGTTGCAGTTAGTTGAGTTGTCTGCTTGGTGGGGGGAAAGTGTCGTGGAAAGTGGCGGGGAAATGGTGGGGAAATGGAGCATAAGCCTGCTGTGTGTGTTTCTGTGTTTGCGCCTTTTGACGTCATCAGCAAATACTTTACTACTGGGTGGCAAGTGTTGCTGTTATTGTTGCTGCTGTTTACACAGCTGCTATGGGGGCAACATTTAGTTGTTGCCACTACCGCTGGTTGCTGCAACATTTACATTGGCAATTTGCTTGAAATGGCACTTACACCATCATCCTCCTCTTGGTACGAAACATGAAGCACACCAACACCAAAACAGACGCCAGTGGACCCACTTCCGGCCACAAGTCCGTGATTTTGGCCTAACCCGAACTTCCGACATTGCCACCAGGCCCTGAATACCCTTTACGTTATTGGGCCATTGTAATTCTGGATCGATTTAATGTTATTATATAATCACATTAACACAAAATCTTGAGGGTGCCATGAGGTATCAGATAATACCAAACAAGTGTGCATTTATTGTTTATTTTATAATCCTCGTGAATATTTTTTAAGCCAAAAATAAATCATACAGAGGACAGTAGATTCTGGAAAAAATTAAACCCTTTTCAACTTAAGATGTTTTCAAACTTAGAAATTGCAATAAACTCCAAACCGTAGTTAAGTACTTCTCTAGAATCTGCATAACCAATCCCGACTTTCTAGCTTTTAAAATGTCCGAGATCTCAGCGTTCAGATGGACAAAAGGTCAGACAGACAGACATGGCTAGTTCGATTCGGGTAGTGATTCTGATCAAGAATATTATACTTTCCGACGAATCTAATATACACTTTTGCTCTACATGTAAGGGGTTTAAAAATTAAGCTTACATGAAGTTTATCTTTAATTAAATGCTAAAATAGTTATACAACCATACATCAATACATAAAGTCTGCGCTTAAAAACCAACCTGGCCTTCCCACTGCCGCAGTTGTTCGACGGACAACCAAAATAGAACTGAGAAGGGCCCAAGGCGAAACCAAGTGGGCATCAGGCCCTTGTACAAAGTGAGCGCGCCCTCTTCCCTGATCAGCTTTCTGAGGCAGTCGATGGAATTCTTGTAATAGAGGTTCTTGCCGCTCTCGTCCACCGGCTGGTTCATCATACGCGACTTGATCACGTCCGCCGGAGTGCTGAGCACGGAGGCCGTAAGTCCTGCGCACATGGAGGAAAGGAAGCGCAGCCCCAGGCCGTCCTCCAGACTCAGCAGGCGCTTAAAAGTGCGCTTGCTGATGTCGTAGCTTCCCACATCTCCGGCCGTCATTAGGCAGGCGCGGATGCAGCTGGGACCCACGCCCTTCCACATGCTGGGCAGTCCCCCATGCCTGTAGATATCGGCGAAGGACTGTCCCATGCTGCTCACCCGCGCCTCGTAGCCCAGCTGACGGCGACGACCTTCCGTCTGCATCCGCACCTTGACGATGTCGAAGGGATTGGCCAACGCCTGGGCTATGCACCCTGCTATGAAGCTGCAGGCCAGGGACCAGTGAACTTTGATCTCTTCGTTGCCCGCGTTTACGTAGAGGAACGGGCGTCGGAAGATGTCGTACATGACGACGCGCCCCGAGTTGAAGAGCAAGTTCCGGGTAACCATCGCCGAGAAGCCGGCGTAAAGGGACCTAAAGCCCTCCACCTTGATCATGTTACCAAGAGTTGCCCTGAACGTGGGCATTCTGGTGCCCGTCTTTTTCGCCTGCTCGCCATCCACCTGCATCCGGGTCTTGGCCACGTCCAGTGGGAAAACACACGACTCAGCCAGGTTGGCTGCAATGAAGGTATTGATGTATAGTTGGAACAAGTTGCGAGCGGTCAGGGGTTCCACCACGTTCGTTGGCGGAAAGCGCGGAACATCATCATCGTCTTCTTTGTATAAGGACCGCAGTTTCCAGTAGTCGTGTTTATCATTGTCCATTATACACTCGGAATTTGGAATTGAATTGTTTACAATTTATTTACTAAGCTACAATTTAAAACGTCACGTTCGCACATCATTAAATAAATATTCCCAGGCGGCTTTCTCCTGGAGGTTGTCAGTCTCCATTCTGTTAAGGGGAAAATCCCGTCCAGCTCGATAAGAAAATCGTTTTTACTTATAGACGTATCAAGGCTCACAACATAAAGTGTGCAGTATATACTTTGAACTTTGACGCTACATATCGGAGGATTTAAGGGGATAACGGGAATGATCTAGATATCAAATAAATGATAAAATTGTCTAAAATCATTCAATAAACGCTTAAAAATAAATAGAAAAGATAGAGTAGATAAGAAATATTGTGTGTTCCCACCAATACAAATCAGCACGCATACGGCTGCAAGGACACTTGAAAGATCGGCCGAGCTGACGCTCTCACCAATCCTCTCTCCCTCGATCAAAGAGAGTGATTTGAAAAGGCAGTTTTTGAGTAACCGAATTGGATATGGTTATATGATGAAATTCTCACAAAGTTCATCGAATTTTCAGCATCGATAAGTGAAGGAAAAAACAAGAAAGAACGCTGTAGTCGAGTGCCTCAGATACCCGTCCGTCTGTCCGTCCGTCTGTCTATCCGTATGTCTGTCCGTCCGCATGAACCCTGAGATCTCGGAAACTATAACAGCTAGAATGCTTACTTAGTCTAAAACCCCTCCAGCGCCCACACTTGTTAATATTTTGTAAAAATTTAGATAACATTTTATTTTTATTATCAACTCCCATCTACATTCCAAATTCAAATCAGACCATTCTTTAAAAATTTTATTAATTTAATTAATAATTAGCAAACTCAATACAGTGCGAGAGGGATGGAGATATATTTATACAGAAAATCCTCAAAATTAAAGTTGAAAAATAGATTGAAAGAGAATTCATGATTTCCCTATTCAAAAATGCATGTGCCGACTCCACTTATGCTGCTACTTTTTGTTACTTTGGTTTTAAAACCTATCTTTGTGTGTGCAAACTTCGTTTAACTTGTGTGAAACCTTTTTGCTTCCATCACTTTAAGGCTCCTCCGTGTGATGGTACAGGAAAAAAAGGAAAAACAAAAAGGAAAGACTGACAAGGAAGCCAAACAGAGGGAATAAAGTTTTGTTCAACATTTAGTTAAAGTCGTTTGGATGGTTTTCAACCCTGGCTGTTTATTTATAGCCCACTTGGCGGGGAAAAAATAAAAGGAAAAATAAGAAATATTTGACAATAGTTTTTTGCAGCGGCAATTAGGGGCACGCAGCACGTTGCAGGTCATAAAGCCGAGAATGAATTACCCCACAGAGTTGCAATTGAAATGGAAATTGAAATTTAATGGCTTTCCGCGGAGATCGTGGAGTCGAGAGGAGGGTGAGGGAATGGCTCAATAGCCGAACAATTGTGTGCTTAAGCTGCACCATAAATTCGCTGAAGTGGCGAGCAGATAAAGATAAACCAGCCACCAGACAGCGACACACACGATGCGGCCAACGTGTCGTATGCGCAATTGTCAATGAATGGTGCACGTGGACATTAATGCTAATTTAATTACGTGAGCATGGAGCATCACGTTAATAAATTCGAGTATGTGAAAAAACCTGTGGCCACGTGTCTTATCCTTAGGCATTGCCATTGCAATGTACTTCTCGAGAACAAGAACTAATACCGGAATTCTTCGAAAAGTTCTCCTCTAATCTCTGACTGGAATTTCCCATAGGATCAGAGCTATTTCCTTTCAGTTCAAAGTCAGAATAATGTGCAATTCTGCCACATAACTTGCCAAGCACATGGAGCCTTGGTAATTTGCAGTATTTTCCCGGAAAACATACACTTTTCTTCTCCTCCTGCTGCTCTTCTACCGAAATAAGCGAAAACAAAAAAAAAATTCGTTCGTTTTAATTAAATTGCATTCTCTTCACCAGTGCCACTTTCATCTGGCGCCGGCTAAGAATACTTTAAGCGAACCTCCCTGGGAAATACTTACACTTGGCTGGTCTGGAATTTCTGTTAATCAAAAGCAGTGTTCAGCATGAAAATGCTTAATTGTATTATTACATAACTTTTCCTCAGCCAAATAAGAAGGTAGGGGAGCAAAAATATTTCGTATCCCACTCGAAACAAGAGTCGTTGGCAATTAATCCATCTTGTTGCCAAGAATAAATCGATGCGGTCTCAAAGGATAATTAATGCGTCACCAAAAGCACTAGGATCTGACCATGACAGGAGCATGGCGAATTTAATATGCCATAACTTAAGCACTCGATCAATAGCATACATAATGTTATCATCACACACGCATATGGTATGAATGCATAATGAAAGGAACTGAAATTCAAAATATAAATCACAGCTCTGCTTATCGGGCCATTTAACTTTCTTCTGTCCCCCTCATATAAACACACACTAAGTCCCTGTACACTAAATACATGAAACCACACTCAGAAAGTAGTTAAAGTATATATTTAAATATATATTATTAAAAAATAATTGAAGCATTCATTAGAATTATTAATAAAGAAACAAGAACATTAATCATTTGCTAAACAGCTATACAAAATTTAAAATCACTGAAAACAAGAGTTCCGAGAAATGCTATTAATGGTAAACCAGAAATCAAGGACTTTATGAATTTTATAGATTTTACTCAACAACATAATGAGTAAAGAGGAAACGCATTTGCAGGAAAAATCCTTAAAAAGCTACTTATGCTATTAAATGGATTTTCTAGAAAATGCTTTTGTTGCATAAATATTATTGTAATTATAATGGTTAAACAGAAATAAATGGTTTTTCCAATTTCCTGGAATTTACTTATTAAGTTAATTTTTTTCTGAGTGAATAGTTTGGCTTTTGTATTGAAAATGGAAACCTTGCCAGGCTAATGTAGGTTTTTGCGTTGGTGGAAAACGAGGATACGGGGCTTCCATGGAGGTGGACTTGTGAAGGGGATTTGGAACGGCAAGTGGGGTGACGTGTGTGTGTCTGGGTAAACAGGAAGTGTTGCGCAGCAGGCAATGTTGCAACATAATAGCCTGTCGAAGGACCGGGAAGGGAATGTAATCAACGGCTATGCTGAAACCACCTTCGCCTCTTTCTACCATTTGGGATTTTGCAAAAATATTTGCTTACGTGAAATTATAGGGGGGCCAAGTTTAATGAATGGCCCGCCACCTGTGCATGCTTTTAATGAGCTAAAGTAAGGACTGCACTGCCAGTCGGATGTTAATTGCGGATGTTTACTAACGTGCCTAGGTCTATGTAGTGTATACATCCTTTCTGAACTCTGTTTGTGATACAATAGAGTATGTAAAATTGCGATTAGCTTATTAAATATTTATGCAATTTGCAGCTTTAGATATGCAAACATTTTATGATCAAAGTGACCTTGCTAGTAAATAAACAAGAGTCAACAGCTATGAAATAGTTTTGAGATACATGGGCAGAAGATTGTTTCATAAATTCAGAGGAGTTCCAAGCAATAACCCCTAATTAAGTTTAAACTAATAAGATATGAAACATCAATAAGCATTCATCTTGTGTGGAATGTCTTCAAATAAATATTCGCCTGCAAAGTACTTACAAACAAAAGCCAGCCAGTCTTTAAGACAACATTAAGTTTGGTTTCCTTCAACGAAAACAAATGGCCCACCATTGGAATCTTGTTTATGGCATATATACAAAATAGTTTGGCCAAAAGCCGAAAAAAGTCATAGCTGCCATAAATCAGAGGGAAAAAGTGAATGAGCATGCTGGGGAAAGCACAAGTATTGCTGGCGCAGCAAAAGAAAAGTTTGACAAACGGCTTCGAGAGGGAAAACCGAAGATCCAACGACACATTTGCGGCTGACAGAGGGGCTAGGAAAATGAGAATTTATTTCCGCCAGCGACAATCAGGTGAGATGCAAAAAGTGTCGAGGAAGTTGTCAAAACACTGTGATAACATTTTCTGGCCAGGTACATCCTGGCCCTAATTGAGGGCGTGGTCCAACTTGTCTGTGCTGGTTTTTAAAGAGCATTTTTCCGCTTTCATTTTTTTTTTTTGTAAACTTTTTCCTTCTGGGGGCTTCTGCACGGTCCCCCTTTTATTTATTGTTTTGCCCCAGCGAACGATGGCAATATATTTTTCCCCGGCTTGCATTTTACATCATTTTCATCCGAAGCCGCCATCTACATAATTTCAAGGATTTTTACCCAGCAGCCTTCAAAAGAAATTAATCTTGTGAAAGCACAACAAACGGAAATTTACGAGGAGCCTTGCCAAAGGTAACAACCCACATTTACGCCAATAAATAATTTTATTCGCAACTATTAATTGTGGCTTTAAATATGTTCGGCTTTAATGCAAAATTCAACCGGACATAAGAAATAACCGCCTTATTCAAACACTTTTACTTAGTTTAGTCAACACAAACAAGCTGTTTTTTTAATTAACACATCAAAACCTTGTTAGTTGCAAACGGGCTGGCACACAATTGAGAAATCGCAGTAATTGAAAGGGGTCCGGTCAACAAAGGCCTTTGGCACAAAAGCCGCGGGTGGTTGGCAACAATTGCTTTACAGCGATTTCCCTGTCAGATGAATTTTTGCAATCACTGTAGGTGTGCTGTGTATCTCACTACGGTTTTAATTCAAGGTTTATAGAACCATTGGAATAAAAATGCATTGTTAGGGGTTTTCGATACTATCGCTCGGAATATACAATTTGTAAGTACTCTTTCTTCCCGCTTACAAAAGTAACTGATTAAAAATATATTAATTAATTTAACTATCAATTGAATAAAATATATTTTCCATAGGCCCTGAGTTGCCCTCTTATACACAGTACATGGTTAAGGGTCAACCTTTCATATCCCCTTCAGCATTTTCCCAGTGAACTGCGAACACATTAACTTCCACTTATCGTAAATCAGCTGTTCGTGGTTGACATTCTTGAAAAATCATGCAGCGCTGCCCCTGCAATATGGTTGAATGGCATAAATGGGTGAAAAACACAAATATGGCATGCAGGTCACCCTTCGGCTCTTTTCTGCTGCCGACTGCCATAAATCACATAAATGTGTGG